AGCTGCCTTCTGAACTGAACCAGAGATAGCATTTTCCCAAATGAATATAAAGAGGGGGAGGGACTCACTGAGCTATTTCCAGAGCGCAGTTATAATGGTACCTCACAGAGCCTGAGATGTAGAAGAATGTGCAGATATCTGGCCTGACCCACAAGCTCTGTGGAGTTAATTCTTGCACAACAAACATGAAACTTAAATCAATTTATTTCTTCTTTCCCTGTCTTTTCTTTGTTTTCCTCTGGCCCGTCCTCCCAGTTATTTTCTTTTCATTCAGTGAGATTTTCAAGGCCCAGAAGGAAGTAGATAAAAGGAAACATGTAACAAGATATCATTGCTTACAAGGAATCATTACTCCTAAATTCTTTACAGGGAGATCTCCCTACCTAGTTCCTTAGAATCTGTTCCCCACCTCCTCAATGCCTTCAAGAACTTCTAGAGACATAAGGGAAGAACGTCCTGAGAAAAACAGATTATTTCCTCATTTCTCTGCAAGACCTGAATTCCAAGTCAAGTTTTCCATCTGAAGCTCTGTCTCTTCCAAATGATTGATAGCAGGGATGTCCAGTTGATTTAGGGGACAATTGTATCTGATTTTCAAGCTTAACAGATTAGAATTCTAAACCTAATATCCAAATCCAATGCAAAAACTAGAGATCAAGATATTACACTAAAAATGATAGGTGTGTTATCAAGTCCTTTTATTCCAACTAATTATTGCTAAGATTTGTTTTATAGAGTGTATTACATATACTTTGACATAGTATTATTCTATAAAACTTTGCCAACTGAGTTTCAAATGAATTAAATACAAAAAAAATTAAATACAAACTGAGTAGTGATACTCATCTATAATCCCAGCTACTTAGGAAACTGAAGCAGGAGGATAAAAAGTTCAAGACCAGCCTGGACAGTATAGTGTGACTCAGCTTAAACATAAGAAGCGCTGGAAAGGTGTTGAAAGCCCAGGGTTCAATCCCTAGTACCATAAAAGAACACAAAGTGCTAGAAAACATGTTAATTCCTACAGTGTGAGTGTGCCTCTGCATATACAAGTATTCCAGTATTGAGTTATCTTTTTTGTTTTTTGTTGTTTTGTGTTTTGTTTTGTTTTGAGACAGGGTCTCACTCTGCAGTTCAGGCTGGCCTTGAGCTCACTGTGCAGCCCAGGCTGGTCTCAAACTTGCAGCGATCCCCTGCCTCACTCCCGAGTATTGAGTTTCCAATTACCAAACAAAAGTGTTTCTAAAATTTCTACTAATGATAAGTTAAATGGGGTGAAGGGAAGACTGAAGACTTGATGCAGAATGAACTAAAGTTTTTAGTCCAATCATACAGGCTTAGTTAAGTTTCTGCTGCGACAGTGCCCATCTTCCTAAAGGCCTAAGTATGAAGATGAGTGGTAAAAGGATAACAAATTAATTATGCTTCAAAGTTTTTAAAAGGCAACAAACTGCATTATTCTTAGCTTGCCAAAGATGGTGATAGGTTTGGCTGTCTTGTTTTGTTTTGTTTTGCTTTGTTTTGTTTTGTTTTGTTTTGTTTATTAGTCTCTCTACAGTACGGTAGCCCTCAGAACCTTTTTAGAAATAGTCACTTGGGACTCTATGAGAAATTCCAAGGAGAAACTGGGAGGCAGGAAAAATAGAAAAGAAAGATAAAATGTTTCCTTCACACTCCGACAACAAAGGTGTTCCTGATATTGGGTCACTGAACTGAGCTGTGGTTTTAGCAGGGGACAGTGAAGGTTTAGAAAAGTTGGAAAGCCAAGTGCCAGGCAACTGCTGACCAATCAGTTTGAGTAAGGGGCATGCCAGCTTTCCCCTCTGACTAGTTTATCCATGGAATATACATTGAATTGTATCTCGCATTTACCAACCAATATGATTATTAGATATAGTGCATAGGTGAAAAAAAATGACTCGAAAGGAGCACGAAATTAAGTAGAGGACATACCAGCAAATCCAATCAAGACATTACAAAAGTTGATACAGTTATAAGGCAAGCATGCCAACAGTTCAAAAGAATTAGAAGGCATGTCTAAGAAAGATCAGTGGCAGGGAAGACTTCTCAGATAAGATAATTCTTTTTTGGGGGGGGGTACTGGAAATCGAACTCATGACTGTTGTAGCTTGGCATAACTGATGCCATCTTGAGCCCTGCATTTAACTAGTGCCCTGTATTTAAGTGCCCTGTAGTGCCCTGTAAAATGGAAAAATACTCAGGGTATAAGTCCCATGAGAAAAGCAAAATGAGCTGTACCCACAGGAGAAAAATTAATCTGGTCAACAAAAGAAGCAGGATGCAAGTGTCAACCAAAAATTAATGTAAGATTCTAGCTAAATTGTTTCCAACAGGATGTCTTTTTGTGGGTCTCTGTTTTTAAAACACTATAACTTTCCAGTTCAAGGCTACTTGGAAAGACTCTGAAACAGGTCTGAGTGGTCACTGAGCTCAGCTAATTAAATCCCAAATTTATCAATTTGGCCGCCTGGATTCCTATATTGTTAATGAACCCACTTCAGTGACGTTGTGTAGGCTGGGCTAGCACCTCACTGCTGAGCTGTATCCCTGGCCCCCTTTTTTGATAAGGTATTACTGGGTAGCCTGTGCTGGCCTCCAACTCATGATCTGTGTGCCTCAGTCTCCCACGTGCTCACATTACAAGCTGAGTATGTTTCTTGAAATGACTATTAAAAGAGCAGTATGAATTTACTGGATAGAAAAGAGATTGAAAATATTCTAAGTAGAGAAAACACGGGGCTGGGGATTTAGCTCAGCGGCATAAGCACCTGCCTTGCAAGCAGGCGGTCGTGAGTTCGATCCCTGGTACCGATAAAAACTGGAAAAGACAAAAAAAAAAAAAAAAAAAGTAGAGAAAACACAAGTGAGTACAGAGTACAAGAAACAAAACAGGCTTGGCATATAGCTTGGTGGTAGAGCACTTGCTTAGCGTGCACAAGGCCCTAGATCTAATCCTCAGTACCTTGGAAGGAAGGAGAAAGAAAGGAAAGGAAGGGAGGAGAGGCGAGGGAAGAAGGAAGGAAGGGAGGATGAACCTTCATCTTGCCTCATAATTCAACCAGGAAACAGATGGCACAAATGTACATTAACTGAAAAGAACTTAATGAAGTGACTGTTTCCAAAGATGTCAGAGGCACCAAAACAGATGGTGACACATTCAGGAACAGCAACGGTGGGAAGCCATTAACCACCCGCCTGGAAGAGGCAAGTGAGGAGAATGGTGTCATCCAAACCTGGGGACGAGGCTGAAGCAGGAGAGTCTTGAGTTCACACCTAGCCCAGGCTGCGTTGCTAATGGCCGTCTCAAAAAAAAACCAAAAACAAAACCTGGTGACAGTTTGGCTATGAGAGATGCACTCCTGCAACAGGAGCTTTGATGTAGAGGAATACAACCACCGCCCAACAGAGACAGCCACAGCCTGCCAGAGACAAAACACTGGAGAGACCCTGATACGGCTTACGTCTGAATGTCCCCCCTAAAGCTCCATGCAGTCATAGCGGGTGCTTTTCAGAGGTGCTTGGATCTAGGGTGTGTGCTTCTGGGATCAAGGATGTGATGCTAGGAGGATTCGTGGTACAGTGCTGGGATCACCCTGGGTGTGAGTGCTACTCACCTTCAGGATGATAGCCTGGGTAAGATACAAGGGACAGAAAGAGGTGCTGCTGGTTGCTATAGCTTGCTGCCTTTCCACCTTCTTCCTGCCATAAAATGTTTCTCTTCTGTGAACCCCTCTGCCACGCCACCCTGCCTTGGAGCCAGCAACTGTGAACTAAAACCTCTACAAACTGTGAGCCAAATAAACCTTCCCTTCTTAAACTTTGAACATTGGATATTTTGTCTCAGCAACAAGGAAAGTAACTGAGATAGATGCTCTGGCTTCTCTTTCCCCTATTTTCCAGACACTAACCCCCTTGGCTGACCCCTACTGTAAAGCAGAGGGCAAGGGAATTTGTACAGACCAATTTCCTGAGACCTGAAGAGAAGTGAAGGCTAATGTAAGGGAGCAGAGAATCATTCATAGCCAGGTCCAAACCACATTCTGATTCTTAAATTGGTTTAGCATAAGAATATACCTGTACCTAACACTAGCACAAGTCTGTCTTAGTTGGTACAAATTTCCACAGAACAAAGGATTTAAACGATGGAATTTATTTGTCGTCAGGTGAGATTTGGGTGCTGGCATTTTTAGGTTCTGATGAACCTCTTCTGGTTGTGGACTCGCATCTGCTCATTACCTTTCTGGGTATAAAGAACAAAAGAGAGCCCTCTAGTGTCTCTTTCATAAGGGCACTGATCCCATTCATGAGGACCTCACCACCTGGATTACATTGCAAGGGACTCACCGCCTAACACCATCTCATTAACAATCAGAATTTTAACATAACACATGAACACACATTCAGTTCATGAAACTGCCCTATTTTCCCCTAAACTGTTAGAGGAGGGGGTTTGCATTACATGACAAGAAGGATTTTTACTATCTGATTTGCTGTGCAACCTTGGCCCTTCTTTAGTCCTTCAGTATGCCTACTTTTAACACAAGGGTATAAAATTATTCAACGAGATATTTAAAAACAAAAACAAGTAATCATAAGACAGTGCAAGCAACACACCACTTAAGTGATTATTTACCTATCTAAGCATTACTACTTTATTTATTTCAGACAGGGTCGGCTATGTAGTTCAGGCTATCCTTGAACTGACTATGAAGCCCCGGGTGGCCTAGAACTCACTGTGATCATTCCAGTCTCAGGTATAAGTGCTGGATTAGGCCGTCACACCTGGCCTGACCATTACTACTTTAATGTTTGTTGGAGTATGAAACAGGGTTGCATATCAGTCTCATGAAATAGTGTTCACTTACGATACTTCATATTGGATTTAGGTATTTTCATATTTGATTATGGTGGTACATTGTTTGAAGTAGGGGGAAATAACATGTTGTCCTTATATATCTTTATTTCTCTTTATTTTTCAGATCAATAACTCGATCATATTACCGCAACTCAGTTGGTGGATTTTTAGTATTTGACATTACTAACCGACGATCTTTCGAACATGTGAAAGATTGGCTAGAAGAAGCAAAAATGCACGTACAGCCATTTCAGATCGTATTTCTGCTAGTGGGACATAAATGCGATTTAGCTTCACAACGTCAGGTTACAAGGGAAGAAGCTGAAAAACTTTCTGCAGACTGTGGAATGAAATACATTGAAACCTCAGCCAAAGATGCAACAAACGTTGAGGAATCCTTCACAATCCTGACACGAGACATTTATGAACTTATTAAAAAGGGAGAAATTTGTATTCAGGATGGCTGGGAAGGGGTTAAGAGTGGTTTTGTTCCAAATACTGTACATTCTTCTGAGGAAGCAGTGAAGCCCAGGAAGGAGTGCCTCTGCTGACCTCAAAAATGCCAAAGAACCCACCAGAAGAGATTGGGTGTCTTTTCAGGGTAAATACCAATATTAACAGCAGAGTGTGCAATGAAAGCATTAAAAAAAATATATATATATATATATATATAAACCTGCACTAACGCTATTATGTTAGCTTTTTGGTTCAGAGCACCATGCTTACTTGTCAGACTACCGAATTAGATATTTTGCTAAATTATCAGGCAAAGCTGACAACTTTATCGAAACTGGACTATCTACATAATCACCTCCATTCTCATTTTTGTTAGAATATACCTGAGCTCGGTGCTCAGACATGTCAATACTATCCAATTTTTCTTAGATTTTTTGCTAACATATAGTCTGTTTAAAAGATTTTTATCAACAGTTATAGCTTTTGAGTTACTATTGAATGGTAAAGTGTATTTAAAAGTACACTGTTCATGTACAAAGTAAACAATCTCAGAAATATTGACTAGGATTAAAGTAGCAATTTCTTGTCTAAGGTACCAGGTTTTTTAACATTCTCAGAAATATTTATCTTCCCTTATTCTTGCTTGAACATAAGAAATAAGTTTTATACTCATTTTTGTTTCCAGACTTATTACGCCTGAAAATTTTGTTTTATAAGCTATCTAAGGATTGAAACAAAATATTTTAAGCAAATATTTGTGACAACAAAAACAAAGGACCACTCAGAAGCAAATGTTTTGGTGTTACAGCCTACCATCCAAATTTTATTTACTGGCTTTTTTTAAAAATGCAGTTTACAGGCTAGGGATTTAGCTCAGCGGCACAAGCACACCTGTCTGGCAGGCGTGAGGTCATGAGTTCGACTCCTGGTTCCAAAAAATAATAATAACAATAATAATAATAATGCAGTTTACTTTAGCATATGTGTTGCTGAAAGAAGCACTAAAAATGCAATTTACTTTAAACTGTCATCAAAATTATCAATATAGCAAGAGAATGCTTTTAGTAACACCATTTCTGTCCAAGTAAGTTTTCAGATTTTCCCAATTCCAATATAAGAAGAGTATACAAAACTTTTTCTGATAATTAAAATGAGTTACTAGGTGCTTGATAAATTTAGCATTCAAACTGCATTTTAAAATCTTATCAGTACAAGGGAAGATAGAATAATCACTTAAGGGAATAAAATGACTTTCAAGTTCCCTAATCTTTAACTTTTAACTTCCTAACTTAGAATTTATTGATTAAACTCCTCTCTTGGAAGGGACCTTTTGATCATAATGCCAAATACTTTATAACATACATGTCTCTTCTGTAAATCATTCCTAATGACAAAGGGACACCAAATAATTTTGAAATCATACAATTTTTGTTGTTAAACTATTTAAGCTGCATTTGTTTGAAAGTCAATATGGTATAGTACAAAGAATATTAAATCAGAAAACCTAGGTCTAAACTTAGCGTGGCTGTACCAAAATTTGACCATGAGGATGTCAGTTGATCTCTTTAAGCATCATTTTTCTCACCTGTAAAATGAGTCTAGTAACCACATTTATTGAGCTTCATGAAGTTTTTTTGAGAATCAAGTAAATCATGTCGGGGGAAAAGCTTCATAAATAGGGAAAGCAATATACAAGTATGAGATTGGTATCAGCTTTTCATGAACCGCCCATATTTATAGTGGGTGAGAATTTTGTTTTCCCACATTCTTTCTTTTCATTTTTGTGCAGAGGGAGCAGAAACCATGTTTTCACGGACCTGAAAGAATTCTTGGTTGGTATTTATCCTCTGCCCTTTTACCATGAACACTGCTTCTCCAAAGCAGAAATGATAGAAAAGGCCCCAAAGAATTAATTCAATCAAAAGTCATGTTGAAATGTGTTTCTTATGCATTTTTCAAGTGGAGATTTAATTGCATTATCAAATACTGTTTCATTTTCTAGGCTCATGTATTTCTAGTAGTACTTATGAAAAGAGGAATATAAATGACAATGAACTCTAAAAGTTCTGAATATTTATAGTCAACTTTTTTAATGCCCTTAGGTTAACTTCGCATAAGTGAATTCAAATATAATTGGTCAGTTGACAAAATATAAATACTTGTCCCCAAAAATATGAAATCTATTTTTGCTGTTACAATTTTATTTATTTATTTATTTATTTAGGTCTTTTTCCTTTTTATCGGTACCAGGGATCGAACTCACAACTGCCTGCTTGCAAGGCAGGCGCTTATGCCGCTGAGCTAAATCCCCAGCCCCTGCTGTTACAATTTTATAAAGAACTTTTGGGGGGTAACAGGAATCAAACTGATGATCTTGCACTTGCCAAGTAGATGTTTATGCCACTGTGCTATATCGCTGGCCCTGCTGCTACAATTTTAAATCTTATAGTACAGTCTTCCATCAGTTCAAAGTGGCATAAGCTCAAATATCGAACACCTAACAGTAGTTTAAAGTACAGTCACCTGTGCCTGCTAGTAAAATTAAGCAACTAAAATACAATATGCAGTTTAACATTCAGTGGGCAACCTTTATAATACACGAGGTGAGACTAATATTTGAACTGAAAGATATGATATATTCCAAGATTTAGAATAAAACTAAGGAACTACACGAAACAAGTTGGAAGACAATGCCCCAAAACATCGGTATTTATATAAACACGACCATAGAACTCTTGTCTCACACCTGGATAACCATGCTTTGGTGTGCATATGCACACGTGTGTACATGTGGATACAACGAGAGATGTGGCAGAGGGAAACATGATCTAACTGGGTCACAAAATAGTAAAATTGGGCTAAATCATTTTTGACATAAGGCAGCTATTTTTGGGAAAACAGTTGTATGGTGAGTGACAACTCCAAAGATCTGTGTTCTTTAACTCTTTGGGGGGACAGGGGAAGGTACCAGGGATCAAACTCCCAACCCCGCACTTGCCATGTAGGCACTTGTGCTGCTGAGCTAAATCCCCAGCCCCTAAGGTCTGAGTTCTTAAACATGACTACCACGCATCTGTATCCCCTTAGCCAGGTATTTTATCCATACATATAGTACCCAATTTATTTTTTTTACACATCATAGAGAATATGGTCAATACTAAGAAGTAGTAAAAATATTTGCTCCAGGAAAAACATTTTGACTAAGTTTGTTAGAAATCAGGTATGTTGGTTTTATATTGAAATCACTGGGTTTAAAACTTTTTATTAATTTAGAGGCTAGAGAGCTGGGAATTTAGCTCAGTGGCCTAAGTGCCTGCCTGGCAAGTGTGAGGTTGTGAGTTTGATTCCCAGTACCACAAAAAAAAAAAAAAAAAAATTAGAGGCTAGAGATATAGATCCACGGTAGGGTGTCTGCACGAGCCCCTGCATATGATCCCCAGCACCATACACCAACAATACATACACATACTTAATTTTAACCACACTTAAATTAAAAGTGTAAAACTAATAAATGATATAACAAACTACCAAATAAGTTTGTATAATCTTTAAAAAGAAATGAAAAAACTGTCAATTGTATAGGAAACTTGCCCATGACAGGGATTTCTAATCTGGAGCTTTATTAACATTCTCAGTACATATAGTGATGAAGCAGTTTATTAAATGGTCAGCCTCAACCACAATGTTTAATCAGAATGCTGTTAGATGTGGCCTTTATATGCATAATAGTAGCAAACAAGATTTCTTGAGCCTGAAAACTTACGTGAGTTTACTCTAGGTTTCCAAAAGCCTGAAACACTCCATGACGTGTGTGTGTGCGTGCGTGTGTGTACCGAAACAATTTTTTATATTATTGTTAAGATAACTTTACCAGAAGAAAGTCTTTTTATCAAAATTTACATCATTAGGAAATTGAGTCTAAGGATTAATAGAATCATTTTAAGAGTATTTTTGTCAGTTTTTATACTGCTCTTGGTTCAATTAAAAGTCAAGTTTCCATTTACTTCAGAGTGCACAGTGTTTGAAAAACCTTTGGTAAGAAGGATTCACTGGACTAAAGATCCATTTCATAAGCTTTCTCTCTTGATTACCAGGAATTTCCCAGAAAGATTTAGCTTGAAAATTCAAAGAAGACATAGTTTTTGGGAGAGAAAATGAAAGACTACAAAGTATTTAGAGTTAAATCCTTGGTATTTTAAAAGAGTACATCCCCAGCTATAAGCTAACTCTTGGAAATTCCTCAGCTGATAATTAGCCAACTTTGCTTCAGAATCTTTCTAAATCTCAATGTTTCACCAAGTTTTTCTGAGCAAGTGACTTTCACCTGGTCATGAAATAAACAAATTCTCCTAAATCCGAGTGAACTGCTGCATGATCTGATATTCCTATAATGTTAATAACTGATGCAAGTGGACATGTGAATGAGCTGTGACAATCTCTTATCAATCATTACACAATCTGATTCACTTACTGCATATAATCATGGTAGAAAATAAATGAAAAATAACATTTAAAAGTTATTAAAATTAGTGTACCTTGTTATCTCTCTGAATAATTTTGTTTTTTTTAAAATAGTGCCTAACTCATTGTTTTATCTATGTGACATTAACTATGAATCCATGATTATCATTTTGAGTTAATCCTATTAAATGTGAGTTTTACATGCTTGACTTTAATTTACAATCCGATAGAAGAATAAACACATTTTGCTATCATCTTTGCTTGGCATTTTGATTTTTTAGAATGACAGCCAGTAGGAATTGGATATGGTATACACTTTTCAAAATGTGTTATTAGGGGGCTGGGGATTTAGCTCAGCGGCATAAGCACCTGCCTTGCAAGCAGGCGGTGGTGAGTTTGATCCCCGGTACCGATAAAAATGAAAAAGACAAAAAAAAATGTGTTATTAATGTTATTTGATTTTAAATAATGAATAAAAAGAATGAGAATAAGATTATCACAATAGGGTTACATTATTCATCTTTTGCTTTTTAGTGGCGCTAAAATGGAAGCAACTTTTAGCTGTAATTGTACCTGTGTCTGTATTCACAAACAAATTATAAATTCAGAGATCTGCAATTCCACATACCATGATGCCATGGCAATGTGAGGGACAGAACCACATAATCGATCTTTTCTTTTTCTTTTTCTTTCTTTTTTTTTAAAACAAGGACTCACTTTGTATTTCTGGCTGGTCTTGAACTCAGTGTATAGCCTGAGTCTACCTCAAATTCATGGCAATGCTCCACACTTCAGTTCCTGGAGTGCTGGATTACAGGCTCTCCCTGCCCAGCTCAATCAAGCTAGTTACATAGCAAAACATGTAAGTAAAAGAGATAATAAGTGATGTGTAATAAATTCATGTCATACTTTGCTGCCAAATGAGTCATGGAAAGAATTTTGTTGCTGAGTGTAGAGATGCATTTCTTAATTCCAGCTACTCATGAGACTAAAACAGAAAGATCAAGAGTTCAAGGCCCAGGTGGGCTACTCAGGGAGACCCTGCCTCAAAAACTAAAAGAATGAAAAAGGATTGGGGATATAGCCCAGTGAAAGACCTAGCAAGGGGAAAGCCCTGGTTCAAGCCCCCAAGTCTCCCCCCAAAAAGAATAATTTTAGGCTTTCAGGTACTTGTGAATTTCAGAATTATGAAAAGGAATCCTGGCTATGTGCTATGTCTTAGGAGATATTTTAGAATTTGAGACATTTCTCTTCTTTGTTCATCTATGTCAAGCTCCAGCGCTGCACATAATAGGAAACAGCTAAGGTTTTTTTTGTTTTGTTTTGTTTTTGTCTTTTTCATTTTTATCGGTACCGGGGATCAAATTCACGACTGCCTGCTTGCAAGGCAGGTGCTTATGCCGCTGAGCTAAATCCCCAGCCCCAACAGTTAAGTTTTTAATTCAGCTGTTCAATCACCTCTGCACATATAAAGAGTCATGCAGGTAAAGTGTTACCAACAATTCTTGACACATGGTAAGCACTTGGTAAATGTCACCTTTTAGTATTGTAACTACCAAGATTTCAACAAGATAACAGTTGTTATCTCCATAGCAAGAAATGAATTGTTGTTAATGGCTGTCTTGCTGGTCATTTCAAATGGTCAAAATTCTTTGAAAAGGTCTCCTAGAGTCTCGTAGAGTGCTTTAGTGTTATCTGAGTGTGGTACTATACACTTGTAGATCTAGAACTTGGGAGGCTGAGGCAAGGACCAGCCTGGGCTACATAGAGAGTTTAGGGCCAGCCTGAAGTTCATAGGGTGCATTGTCTCAAAAACAAAAAAGGGATTGGGGTGAGTACATAGCTCAGTGCAAAGGCCCTAGGTCACACACACACACACACACACA